TGAACCAACAGCAAGGACAGAATTTATGTATTGACAAGAGAACTACTTACAGAACCATGTCCAAATGCCATCCTCCTCAAAATAAATAACCTAATCCCAACTATTAGAGTTGATTAACCATATCAAAATATTTTAATAACATGTTTAAATGCTCAAAGAAGCTAAACTACAAAATGCAAAGAAACAAAATACATCAAACAAAGGAAGAGGGTCTAAAACTACACAAAGTACAGGTCCAACGATTCCAATGTCAGCATCATCATGATTAGCCATATCCCCAGAATTAAAGTTTGGCTAACTATACCAAATGTGTTGACAGCAATATATCTAGTTGTTTATAAGACACTATTTGTTAATAAAACATTAAGATGTCTGTCATGTGAAAACCATTTTTCTCCCACATTCTATGGCTTCCCCTGTGAAACAAGTAAATATAAGCATTTAGTTTGAATGTTCCACTCCAGAACCTAGTTTGAATGCTCCACTCCAGAACCTCGCACATGAATGATTTTCTTCGTGGAAAAGAAAAAAAACCTAAAATATGCAAAAATGTAAGGAATATGCCAATCTGTGCCAGTAAGTCTGCCTTTTCAGTCCTAACAAATAAATGTATTGTATCTTCTAAAATTACAACATTAACTAGTAGATATGCATACATATTCAGAAATAACAAAAAAAAATTATTGAATGGTAAATCATTAGGTTCCTGGTTTTACATCCTTAATAATGATTACATTCCTAAGCAATTCTGCACAAAAGCATCAACATAAACAATTTTAAACATGAATTATAAATAAAAGGAAACGTGTTTATAAAATTATTGAAGCATTCACTTTTTAACTCATCCAAAAGCATCTTAAGGAAAAAAATGAAGACAACCCTAAAATTCATATTGTTATGAAAGCAGCATTTATTTGGCGGTAGAATTAAAATCTAAAAGTTAGACATTGATTGCAAAATGTATCATACCTCACTCAATTCATCCTCATCAAAATCTTCAATTTCAGGCACTGAATTTGAAGATTTACCATTCACTATATGCTTGGCACCTTTGACTTTGTCCTTATCAGCCTTTTCATTTAAAGGATATTTAGCATTATCATGCTCTAGTAATAAAAGAAGTTCCTTATTTATCATTTCATCCGCCTGCTCAAATGGGGTTGGAGGAACAAATGTGCTTTTATCTTCATCACCCTTAACCAATAAATTTTTTATAAGTTCTAATGAAGCTACAGGTGGTCTTGGAAGCTCTCTCTGAAGCACTTTTGACCTCTTTTTCATTAATGCCTCTAATCTTGCTTGTTCCCTTGCCTTCTCTCTAGCAATTTTGTCAGACATGTCTTCTTCAATTTTAACTTCAATTTCTTCATTTTCCTCTGGAATTGGTTGCATAACTATTTGATACTCATTTTTTGGCAGTGGAAGATTCGTCAAACCAGATCTCAAGTTTCTTCTCATCTCTTCCTGCCTGCGTAATTCAAGCTTTGCGCTATCCTGCATTTCAATATCTTCATTGATGCGTAGATCATCCCTAAAAGGAGTGAACTTTGGTGTTCCACCAACTCCATCTCTTAATGGAGTCATGCCAACTCTTGGAGTAAGACCCATAGGTCCAGGGCTAGCCAATGGTGTTGCTAATGGATTAGGAGTTTGCATCTCCTTTTTTCTTGGGGTGACACCTGAAAAGTCTGAAGGGTGCAGCTCAGGGTTTTCCCCTCCAAGAAGAGGTGTTTGAGACTCCCTCAGTCGTGCAAGATTCTCTGCCTCCATCATAATAGCGTCTGCCTTCCCTGCTGGGGTTCTTTGAGGAGTTCTAAGGGGCGCCGTTCCCCTTCTCGGGGTCTGAGAATAATCAGCAACAAGGGCACGTGTTGCACCACTTCCTTCAGCAAGCTCCTCACTTCCTAGAGTAAGATCATTAGCATAACCCATTTTTGCTATCTCCTCTAATTCCTGGTCTGAAATCTGTGGAGCTGGGAGCATCAGTTTCGACCTTTTCCTTACTGCTTCAGGATCATTAAGTTTATTAGCTTGTTGTATTGCTGCAGGAGCATCTAACCTTTGTTGAATTTTGTTCCTTGCAGCATCTTGCTTCCTTAATTGGGCTTCTATATCAACTCTTCTTTTCCCTTCCAGCTCCTCAATAGTTGTAGGAAACTTAATTTGTTCCACAGGTTTTTCCTCGCCAGCAATATCAAAGAAACCTGGAGGAGGTCGCTTCTCAAATGGTATTTCAGCATTATAATCTATCCCCTTCCTTTTCCTCCTCCTGTGCCTGTTGTCAATTCCAGCTGCCTTCAACTCTCTCCTTTTCTGCAATGAGGCAAGCCTCCTTGCTTCCTCAAGCTGTTTTTCCCTTGCCTTCCTCTTAGCCTTTTTACCCCTAGTGTTAGCCAACCTAGCCCGTGCTTCTGAAAGCATTTCCTTTTCATCTTCATCCATATCCACAGGATCTGGGCGTGCGGGCTTAGATTCTGGGTTTGGGTCAATCTCTCCAGGCCGCAACTTACGTGGATCATCATTAGGTTCATAATTCTCATCCTTGGCACAGGCTGCATCCAGTAGCTTCTCATAGCGCTCAAGGCATTGAGATGGAGTTCGTCCCACAATTGGAGCAATTGTTCTCCATTGAGTAGGCATCAGTTTAGCAAGATGGAGCAACTTCTCATCTTCCTCCCTGGTCCATTCTGTCTGGAAAAACAATGACATTAGCATCAATCAAAAGCTTTTAGCTTGATGGAAAAGCAAATCCAAGCTGGGAACTAAACATTTAATAGGCGTACACGATGGGAGTAAAAATCAATAATTGTGGATTAAAATACAAGTGATACCTCACAAAAGTTTACCAAGCGTTCAATAAATTGACAACAGACAAACAAGGCATATAAATAAGATGTTCCAATGAAATAGAGGTAAATTAAAATTTTAACATTATCTATAAAAAAACCAGTCCAATCAAAGATCAAAGTATTTTTATTTGAATTGATAACAACAACAATTTTAAAAAGAGAACAAACATCATATGGAACTGAATCTTTACAGAATAAATATATCAATTTTTACGCAAAATAAGAGAAAGATCGTCATCATCAACAACAATATCACTAGTTTTATCCCAACTACTACTGTAAATGAAAGTAAAACTAGTGGTTGCATTAGAAGTTTGGAGATCTTGATAGTACATGTTTTGGGAAAATATCTTCTGAGCAATGATTTCGCAATTTTGGTCTAAATTCAAAAATTATGACGTAATTCAGGCAAGATATAGTTTATTGTCTGTGCTGGAGTTTATCCCATTCAGGACAGCTTCTAAAATAACGAAGACAGGCAAGAACAAATTGATCCCGAAACGAAATGAGTCCATATGCCTTTGCATGGCCGTGAATCTTATCAGGGCCTGCAAAAACTATAAAAGCAAAACAGAAATCTGCCAGCCAGATACCTCATTTTATTATTTCAAGTAAAACAGTAATGTTAAAGTGCGAAAGTTGTATTGGTCGCACTTGGAATTGGCACATTCTGACAAGGCCACATATTTGCAATTTATGGATGGAATAACAAAATAGGTTCAGTAAGGGAAAGGATGTAGTCATCCAATCTGATGATATTTACAGTAGCAATTTACAAGTTAAATATAAAAATATTTGCTGCATGCTATACTTTCCTCGCATGCATCATGGAAAAAGTTTGTTTACATTGAGTATATATGTGAAAGATGGGTTATCAAATCAAGTTTTCCAAAGAAGCATAAATGTGCAAATAAACAAGATATCATGGATAAAATACAGCTCCCGTTCGGTCCTTCTCTGAAATAATCAAATGCAAAGAAAATACCTTCTTAGAAAGTCCTACAAATAAAAAGAGTTCCGCCTTCTCTGAAATAATCAAATGCAAAGAAAATACCTTCTTAGAAAGTCCTACAAATAAAAAGAGTTCCGCCTTCTCTGAAATAATCAAATGCAAAGAAAATACCTTCTTAGAAAGTCCTACACATAAAAAGAGTTCCGCCTTCTCAAAAATATTTTTGTTTTCTACTATTTTTTGGAATCTAATGGTCAGTTCTTCTAAAAGAAGTAAATGGACAGAAAGCTTTTGAATCATTGTTGTGCAATTCCTGTTTCACTAAACCTAATTACTGAATAACACCAAAATTCCTAAAAACTTTCACAGGAAAGCAAAAGAAAGCCTGTCTGTTGGTATATCATCTTTCCATCCATAATTATAACTATCCAAATGTTGAAGTAATTTAAATGGGAAAAAAGGCTAACATTGTATCTGTCTTCTAACGTTTTTAGTCCCAAACCTTTATCGCTTCAGCATTTTTCAAAAGCAAAGAGCTTTAGAGAGTGGTGAGGGCAATGCTGTAGCAACTTTTGATTGCGGCAAACCACCACTCAAACAACACATCATCCATTGTCTTCTGTTTGCTCTTGAGGCAGTAAACAGCTCTAGAAAAAAAAATTGAAACCCCTTAGCTTATATGAAGCGGAGTTATTCCATGAATGCTTCATGTTACCTGGTTTTTCTACAAGCTTGTAAAGTATAAAAAGCCCTCGAAAAAAATCATTTGCATTGTCAACCCTATCATACAAATGCTAGTGTTATGATTTGGGTTTATTATACGGTTAATTCCAAATCTATAAAATCAATGCATTTGTTAAACTGTATATCAAACATTTATTACGCCATAGCAAAACTATTCACATACATTTTATGATCATGTTAACACTGATGGACCGTTGCCTCTCGCATACTCACTACTATGAAACTAATTGTTTCAACAAATCCTGCAACCTATAAGGACTGCTGAAAATAAATATACTACTCTTTTCAAAAAATTAACTAACTTGTCCTTTCTACTGTATTCAGCATCCAGATAGACTCTTACAATATAAAAAGCCATTTATCTCCAGATAATCATGCCATCCGCTTCATCAGAAGATAAATTCAAATAATAAAAACAGCGAAGAACAGCGTGAAGAAGGAGTGAGATATCCTTTACCTTCTTAATGGAGGGGTCAAGCCACTCGTACCACCTGGCTTTACATTGCTTGGCCGACTTGCGAACAAGAAGCGAAGAAATCCGAGCCCACTGGTTCTTCCCATATTTCATAACCGCAGCCTTAAGAATTTCATCCTCCGTGTTCTTCCATACCCCCCCTTTTATCATAATCCTCATCCTGCCTCCTTTTTACTTTGCTGCTCCTACTCTGATTAAGGTTTCAGAAGTTAACTTCTTCTCCGCAATCCCCAAATGAGAATTAGGGGCTGTTTGGTAGCCACTTTTAAGCAGGATTTAAGCTTAATCCTGTTAAACGGCAAAAAATGCCTCCGTAAATCCTGAGCTTCCGTAAATCCCAAAATGACGACGATTTGCGAAAAATCCGGGATTTACTAAATCCTGTGAATCGGCAGATTTAGTAAATCCGGGATGAGCGAAGATGACGAGTGGCGCGAACAAGCTTACCTTCTTCAATTGTTTCTAGTAGGAGCGGAGAAGAAGGATGAGAAACATGGGAGTTTCGGTGGTTTATATAAGCCGCGATGCCGTCGTTGTTTTAGCAGCTAGCTCTACTGGCGGCTGAATCACGAAGGTTCGTTAACGAAGGCGATGGTTTTGGATTAAACCAGCGGGGGAGTGAGATAAGCGAGGGTTTTCGGCAGAGATGGAAGTTTGGGCGAAACCAGGAGAGGGGTAGAATGTCGGAGGCAGAGATGGGAATAGGGAAA